AAAATCCTTCATACCAGGAAGATCCCTGAAGTTAGTTATTAAAGACCAATCCTGGCGTTCAAAGCAGCCATTCCCCATGGGTCACTTTTAGGATCAACCCTTTTTTTGATCTACATAAATGATCTGCCTAAGAATATATTCAGATCATATTTAAATATCTACGCCGATGATACGACGATATACGAATGCAACTCTAAAACTCTTGACGATCAGAATTTGACAGCTGATGTCTCTTCCGATCTGAAACTAACTTCGCAGTGGAGGAAAACCAGGTTGGTTACATTCAATGCCTCTGAAACTAAATTGGTTAGATTCCATCACCGCCAATCGAACCGCAAACTACCGCCAGTCACGATAAAACTTGTTTGAATTTTTTTTTTTTTTTTGGGGGGGGTAAAATTTAGCTTTTTTTTTTTTGTTTTTTTTTGTTTTACTTTTTTTTAATAATTTCACCCCAAGCAAGGTGGGAGTGCTTCTAGCAAGCAGGGGGTTAGAGAGAGTGAATACGAGAGTAGACTGTGTATAGGGGAGATTCAGGAAAGGATAAAAGATGAACGGGGTTCAACAGATGATGCTGTTTGATGTTGCATTTGAATAATTGAAAATTGAAGTTATCTGGGCAACAAGTAAGCAGAAGAAAGTTTCACTGTTTGGAAGTGCAAGAAAAGAAACTGTTGGAGTAGGAGTGGCGGTTGCATTTAACTATTTCAACAGAAAAATGGTGGGACCTAAATGCCAATCTAGTAGCACGCTTATATTCATGTAGTCGGACACCAGTTGCCATGAAAATATTTGCAGAAAATACAGAGTGAAGCTACATCACGTCTGTGAGAAAGTGACTGAAGTCGAGATACCAAGTCAGGATCATTTAAATTGCAGATCCTTCTTTGGATTTTATCAAGAACCTCGAGATGAACAGCAAGGGCACCAGAAAAGATATGACAACAGTATTCAATGCACGGACATAGATTTGTCAATCTGCAAGATGGACTCTGACGAGAAAAACCTTCTGCAATGATACAATAGATCTACTTTCCTCGCAATAAATGCAGCTATTGATTCAATGTAGTTGTTCCACTTCAAGTCAGTTGAAAACGTGAAGCCAGGAAGACGTAGCGAGACGTTCTCCTGGAGTCGAGCATCAGCCATGTTGATGGCGGGCAGGGAAGTTTCTCCATGGTAGTTAAATGGGAACAGTTCAGTTTTGGAAGCATTAAAATTTGCCATATCCTGCCCCCGATAAGCACTGATTGGAGGTCCTTCTTAGCAGCAGCGACCAGGTTAGCTTTGTCAGCTCTGACGGATTTGTTATTGAGACAGGACTAAATGGTTGTGCCATCTGCATACAGGCTTATTTGGGAACTGATAACATGAAAATCATTGATGAAGATCAGAAACAGTCTAAGACCTAGTAGAGCCTTACGTTCGTCTGAAAAGATCTGGAAGCGAGGCCGTTCAGGACTATCTTCGTTTCACGATTTGATAAAAATGACTGAATTAAATTAAACGCTCAAATGACTCTGAGATATCTAGAACCACAGCACGAGTTTCGCCGTTATTATCAAGAGGTTGATATTCATTGATGGCATATCAGTGGTAAACTGGGCGAAACGGAAGCCATATTGTAGAATAGGTCGTGAGAGTTAAGATGCTTAACCAGTTCAGGATTGATTAAAGCCACGAATACATTGCTGAAAAGCGGTATCAGTCTAATGGAGCGATAGTTAGAGACGTCAGAAGGTTATCCTGAGTTCTTAAAAACAGGAACTACAGAGGATGAATTACAACAAACTGGAAAGCGGGAAGCAGTGAGGCAACAGTTGTAGTGTTTAGAGAGAACAGGAGCCAGTTCGGGAGCACATTTCTTTAGGACGACGACTGGGATCCTCTCTGCTTCCCTTATGGGAGTCTAATTTAGAAATGATGTCTAAAACCAGTGAGAGGGTTATACGCATCTCACTCAGTATAGTCTCAGTTCTAAGGTGGCGAAATCAGGTGTAGCTACTCTAGATGAGTCAAGGGTTGAGTTGTGAGAGAATTCCCGAGCAAAGCATTGCACTTCATCTGCTGTAGACGTCAGAACTTCGAAGTGATTCCTTAGGGGGAGGGATTAAAGATTTGCTTTTGTTTAGCACACTTTTGCAGAGCCGCCAATAATCCCTGAGACCGAACTTTCCAGATGCTATACGTTGTCGTTTCACACAATCAACAAACTGTAACTTCGCTTCATTGAGGAAAAGATTGCACTCATTACGAGCAGGGACAAAAGGACGTCTGTTGCAATCAGTCGTATCGCTCTCGTACAGACGGAAAAAAGTGATTTCCGTCGGCTATAGCGCCCGGTGCTGGAGGTGAGAACCAGAGAGATGAATTTGGTATTTCCTTGCTGGAATGAAAGCAGCGGTGCCGGCTTTCACCCAGGAGACCACAGACGTACATTTTTGAACATGGGTTTGGGTTTGATTAATTTTACGGCATATCAACCTCAATGGGTTATTTAATGCCAAAATTTTTATTGCTGGTTATATTTTCTCTCTCTCTCTCTCTCTCTCTCATCTCTCTCTATCTATCTATCTATCTCAGTCTCTTCATATCTATCTATCTATCTCAGTATATATTGGTTTGGTTTGTTTTGTTTTACGGCTTATCAACCTCAATGGGTTATTTAATGCCAACAAGATTTTTATTCCTGATTATATTTTCTATCTATCTATCTATCTATCTATCTATCTATCTATCTATCTATCCCAGTCTCGTCATATCTATCTATCTATCTATCTATCTATCTCAATAAATACTTGTTTGGTTTTACGGCATATCAACCTCAATGGGTTATTTAATGCCAACAACATTTTTATTGCTGGTTATATTTTTTACCTATCTATCTATCTATCTATCTATCTATCTATCTCAGTATATATTGGTTTAGTTTGTTTTGTTTTGCAGCATATGGATTATTTAATGCCAACATTTTTTTATTGCTGGTAATATTTTCTTTCAAGATAAACTATAGTTGGTAATATTTTTTCTAAAAATGTATTGCTGGTAATTTTTTTTTTTTTTTAGAAAATATTTCTGATATGTACTAAAACCTATTTTTACACATTCATTGTGTTTTGACCCCAGTTTGTGTGTCAACTATTTGCCCATAGCTGGAACCATAACAGGTGCTACAACCCGGGTCATGGTGGACCTGGGAACATCAGCAATTAAGAGGTGGTTCCACGCTCCTCAAAGCATCCTGACCAGTGGCCCTGCTGTTGGATGTAGTTTGCCGTCATACCCAGGACGCATTTTTGAACAGGATGATTAAAAACTTCTTCCCATGTGACGTCACGAAGGAGATCACGGAACGAGTCTCAATCTGCTCGTTTTGTAAAGAAAAATGATATTCTGTTGGTAGGAGATTCTTGGCTGGTGGTGGGGAACGTAAAGAGATGTTTACTGACACTACCGCATGCTCAAGTGTTGCCAAGAGGACAGTGCTGCGTAGTACGGCAATATTCAGGCATAGAGATAAAAAGAAGTGATCGAGAAGAGAAGCGTGTCCAGTAACTTGGGAAACGCGCGGGGAAGTCAACCAATTGCGTGAGAGTTTGAGTGATTGAGAAGTTAAGAGTTTGGATGTCAGCGAGATCAGTGACAGAGTGTTAAGACACGTGGTATCGCGGGAATTAAAGTCACCGAACACGAATATATTAGCGAATGTAGGGAGATGGCGTTGTCTACATCATCTGAAATACTTTTATTTATAAATTACAATCCCTCATATCCGGAATCTCTCATATATGAACCTGATTTTAATGTGTATATTTGAACTATTTGGTGATATGTAACTGATTTGAAATTTCTGTTTTTTTCAGGAAACTTACTTTGGATAATGGCTTATGTTTATTTCACTCTAATGGCTTCTATTGATGCAAAAGATGATGGGAATAAGAGGAAAGGATGACAATGAGACACATCTGCAACAAGATAGCGACGAGATGCATGATTGTGATGAAACCTGGATTGAAAGTGAAAAAGCTATTGAAAAGGTGGTCAGTTTTATGGAAAGAAAGCCAACATTCAGCTATGACGATTGCAATAACGTAATTTATTTCTTTTTTCCTTAAAATCAGTTTTGTTATATTTCATTCATCGTTAGCTTATTTTGTTTACTATAAAACAATGAAAATAAATGTTAAACCTGATTTCAGTTCTTTTATTTTAATCTAAATATAACCCCTCATATCCGGACTTTGTAACCAATTCTTCATATCCGGAAGGTCTTCTTAGTCTGGTTGTAAGGGATTCTACTTTATTCCAAATTTGCAATGTTAAAAAAAAAAAGAAAAAAATGGGGTGAATGTATTCATATGCAAATCTCCACAATATAAGTAACAGTTCAACAGCTGGTGGCTGAACTAGTACAGACCTTGAAGATTAAACTTGAAGAGTTGGCAAAGTGTGATTTGTGCTTGTCTTTTTTATATATATATACAGTAGAATCCCTCATATCCGGAATCCCCCATATATGAACCTGATTTTAATGTGTATATTTGAACTATTTGGGTGATATGTAACTGGTTTGAAATTTCTGTTTCTTAGGAAATATACTGTGGATAATTTCTAATGCTTATTTCACCCTAATGGCTTGTATTTATGAAAAAGATGATAGGAATAAGAGAAAATGAACAACTTTGGAGTTATCGCAAAAGGTAGAATTTTTAAACAGACTAAACGCTTGTGAAATTTCATTGTAATTAATGACTGAGTTCAACATAAGAAAGTCAATATTGTATGATACAAAATCATCCAAAGAAACTATTCTCCAGCGTTCACACTGTCACAATGAACAAGAAAAAAAACATGATTATGATGAAACCTGGACTGAAATTGAAAGATGTATTGAAAAGGTTGTCAGTTTTATGAAAAGAAAGCCAACATTCAGCTATGACGATTGCAATAACGCACGCAGAATTAAAAAAAAGTGTCTTTCGTTTAAAAAATTTCAAGAACAAAATCAAAATGAAATGCGGAAAAAGTCGAGAATGACATTAGAAGAGAAAGAATCATCATGCAACAGCGATTAAAAAAATCCTCGTTACATTATTTGTGTTGCATATGTGGCATACTTAATTTAAGGAATTTTCATTAACATTACATAATTTTTTTTCTTAAAATCTAGTCCGTTATATTTCACTCATCATTTGCTTCTTTACTATAAAACATTGAAAAGAAATGTTAAGCCTGATTTCAGTTCTTTTATTTTAATCTAAATATAACCCCTCATATCCGGACTTTGTAACCAATTCCTCATATCCGGAAGGTCTTCTTAGTCCGGTTGTCAGGGATTCTACTGTATTTGCGGTTTTGTGTAAACTAATTTCTTAATGATAATCGTTAAAAGTTGCATTTTATCCTTACAATTTCGTTTCTAATGCTAAGAGAAAAGCTTACAAAATCTACAACTAAATACAAAATAACAACTAGTCTTGTCCAGAGAAAAGTTTTTCTATTTAAATTTTCTGATGAATCTTAAATTAATGATTGAATAAACTCATGACAAGTTTTACGATAATTAAATATCCGTAGAAATTCCTCTAACGTATCGGTAAATATTTGAACTCAATAATTTTAACAAAGCACTGCAATAACAATAAAAAATATGAATGCTGGTCGTTATTTTAAGAAGTAAGGGGGTACAAATGAAAAGATTTTAAATCTATAATTTTTCCATTTCGCTGAAACAACATTAAACCAGTGGTTTTCAAACTTTTTGAAGTCAGGGCGCACTTGAAATCCTACCAGTAATTGTAAGCGCACTATATGCAAATTTCGGGAAAATATGTTATAATGAAGTCAAATATTTCAGAAAAGAAATAATACAATAAAAAAAATATAAAATGAAACATGCCGTAAGTTTATTCATTCTTGTGTTTATGAGAAACATGAACTTGATGAGTCAGTATTTACTATCCCCCCTCTCCCCACGAGGGTAGATGTGGCACAAGGCCGAGTTTAATGTGGGACATCCGAGCCCTTAGGCTCGGCCAAAAATTCCCCGTTGAACCCGTATAAACGGGATCGGGTTGGTCAACCTCCCCGAACGAGACTCTGCCCTTCGGCATAGCCTCGTCATGGTTCCTCTCTGCTCAGAGGCAGAGAGTTCGAACATCAAGCCGAAAAAGATTTCAGCTAGTCATGAACTTGATGAGTCTTAGCGATTTCTTCAATGTTTGGGCGTATATTTGATAGGCAAACTCTCATTTCCTCCTCAATGCATTGAAGAGTTCCTCTCTTTTTGCCCTTAATTGTGGTGAGAGCAGAAAAGCCTAATTTACATATGAACGAGACGGTTACCGCAATATAATAAAGTAAATATATTTATTTCTTATATCTGGACACATATTTCGCTGGAATTCCATAGCGCACCTAGACATCTTCCAGGGCGCACCTAGACATCATCCAGGGCGCAATAGTGCGTCCAGGCGTACTATCTGAGAACCACTGTGTTAAACATTTCTACCTTCCCTTCTTTTTTCTTGCTTTCTTCCACTTTCTGTTTGAAAACCAAGTAATGTCTTTTCCTCTCTTCCCACGATGATTAAAACGGAATAGTCCGTTATTTATTAGCAATTGGCAGGGCGTAACGGTCGTGCGAACTAACAAAGAGAGGTAGAAGCTCAATTATAGTAGGATAATATTAGAAAAAAAGATAAATAGAGACATATAATATTACCATAACATCTACCCTTCAAAACAATATATCCAATTCACTTACGAAAAGTTATGAACACATGTCCCTCAAATATGGGTTAAATGTATTCCGAAAAAAATAGTTAATACAATATGTGCTCGAAAAAAATTATTCTTACAAGTTTCACCAGTAGTTCAAAGCCGTAAAAACCAAACTAATCAGTCCATTTGAATGTGTGTGTGGGTGATTGTGTGGGTGATTGTGTGTGTGTGTGTGTGTGTGTGTGGGTGAGAGAGACAGAGAGAGAGAGAGAGGGAGAGAGAGCGTGTATATATGTGCAAGCGTGTATGTGGGAGCGCCACGCGTGTGTGTGTTTGTGTGTGTGTGTGTGTGTGTGAGTGAGAGAGAGCGTATGTATGCGTGAGCTTATATGGGTGAGTGTCGATGTGTATGTGAAGATGCATGTTTGTGTGTATGTGTGTGAGTGCGTGTAGGAGTGTGCGCACGTCTGTGTGTGCGTATGTGTAACGTCGTCTCATGTGTTTGAATATGCGCCTATCTCTGCTGACATTTCCGAACCGGCAAGCAAGTTTTTTTTCCCCACCCCATTACCCTCTACCATCCGAAAATTAAAACAAATCCAATTCGTCTCCTCCTACGCGAGTTTCAGCGGCCCTACAGTGCGAGTTAAAAGTACACGATAACGTGACACATCAAAAACTTATTCAGCAATGAAAAGAACGTTTGTGGGATGCTACATACTCGGAAGCAACTCATTCTTCTTCTGCCTTTGTGTGTCGTGAACCATCAGGGTATAGAAGACTAGGGTTTTTACTCTGTCTCCCCCACTAGGACGAGTTGTGACACAAGGTCAGTTTTTAAGGTGGGAACGCGACCGTGGACACCTGGGCTACGAACAAAAATTAAACGCAGCCTCCTCAACCGTCCATTGCGCTGGCCTCGGTGCGAGCAGCGATCCCTTTCCCCCTGGTCCAATGAGAGGACGCGGCCTCGGGCAGCTGTTTCCCAGGGCTGGGTACCTCTCAGTATAATTTTCCTCAGTTGCGACTCTGTCCTTTGACGCAGTCGCCCCTGAGTGCACTTTGCCCAAAGCAAATAAGAGATGATAAATAGATGTGTTACAAACTACTCGAGAGAGCAGTTTACACGTAGAAGACTATAGCTCTCCAGTTTCCTGTCCTTCATAGCTCTTAATAAATCTTGTATTTTTGCCATTTTTTTCTAAACATTGTTCTGCCATCCACTTCCTCACTAAGTTTATTAAGCGTTCTCTTCCTCTGTCCCATTGAAACTGCCTTGTGAGTATCAGATTTTCCAAGCTTTCTTTCCTTATCATGTACCGCAGAGCATCAGCTGTCTCTTCCTGATGTTATAAGTACAATTTTCCTTTTTGTTTTCATTTTCTCTAAAACTTCGTTTTTGCTCACATATTCGATCCATGGTATCCTCAGCATCCTCCTGTAGAATCATATTTTTGTTGCTTCAAGTCTCTTTTTTTTTATCTCTGAGGAGATTTTCTAGCATGCAATGCCATACAGGTGGACAGATATCACGTAAGAGTTCAGTACACTTTTCTTTGTTTCTAACGAAGTTTTTTTCTGTTTCTTAATACTCTGCTTAGCTTTTGAAAAGCATTTTGCCCATCCCAATACGTCTTCGAATCTCCGTTTTTCTGTGGAACTAACAGTTGCTTTTCCCGCACTTCCCACTTGTGGATCTCCCGATTTCTTAATTCCCTGATAAGTACAATATCCAAAAGTTTAAGAACAACGTCAATCGCTATTTTTTTTTTTTTTTTGTCATCTTGAACCCTGTTTCTTTTTTTGTTCTTTCCTCAATCCTCGGCATTCAAAGTATTTACATTCTCTTTTCACTTTCACTACCTGTAGCCACTTGGGTAACAGTGACGTCGCCTTGTTTGGGGTGAAACGATTTTAGATATATAATAATACGAGGTACGTAGGAAATCCTTTGGGTATGGTATGCATTCATCTCTTCTCCTAGCAGAACCAAATGTGTCGGTAACCAGTTTAGGAGAAGGAAAACTCCTAATTCTAACCGGCCTAGACATAAATGAGGATATCTTGTGAAAAACAACACTGATACTACGACTGCAGCACATGTGGTACCCCTACGACCTCAACGGGTCACTGGACAATGAAAATTGAAAATAACCTGTACCCGACTCGAGAATTGTCACATGAGTGCACGTGCCTATCGGAACGCGTGTCGTTAGTTGGGCCTAAGTGGGTCGATATATGTTCGTCTGTCTCCGCGTGAGATACATATGAACGGACATTTTAATGATACTTGACTCAGCAGAATTCTCTTTTAAAAAGTAAAAAAAGAAAAATAGAAAAAAGATAGCTATGTTATATACAAGACAGCTAAGTTATATTGCAAGTTGTTTTTTAAAGAGTCTTTGTCGATGTTTTAAGTTATGTAATATACATCGCAGATTATCTTAAACGTTTTAAAAAAACTTAAACATTCCAGGATTTAGTATTATTGAATATAATCTGTTAAACTGGTTTAAATACCCTTGAGAATGCTAGGAATACATCAATAAAACAAAGGATAAATAGCAGAACCGAATCGGTTGGTAACCAGTTTAGGAGAAGGAAAACTCTTAATTCAAATCACCCTAGAGAGGAGTGAGCTCTGTCATGATATCTTGCGAAAGATAACACTGTTACTACGGTTAATTACATGGGATGCTCATACGACCTCAACGGGTCACGCGACAATGAAAAGTGAAAATAGCCTAAGAAAGGCTACAATAAACGCATTATTATTAAGCAAATATTCATTAGTTTAATCGAAATATCAAAAAACGATGGCCTTATTTAAGCAATATTTCAATCGAGTTTGTGTATCACGTATAGGTTTTAGCTCATTGACTGAACGATAGCAACGGAAAACATGTTGAGCTACTAAATATCAGGAAATTCCAGTTGCTAGCACAATGAAAACTCCTAAGGAAATCAACAAATGTAATGTTGAATAGCAGGACACGCTATGCTGTTATTCAACATATAAGATATAGAGACAATCACACGTCTACTGATTCATGATTAGTTATTTTAAAGAGTCTTATGTCGCTGATTTAAATTACGTAATAAACTTTGCACTTAAACATTCCAGGATTTATTATTATTGTATATAATCTGGTAAACTGGTTTAAAAACCCTTGCGAATATGAATCCATTGGTAAATCTATGGATAATCAGCAGAACTAAATGGGTTGGTAACCAGTTTAGAAGATATTTTTTTTTAATTCACCACCAGCCTAGAGAGGACTGAACTCTTTCATGATATCTTGTGAAAGACAACATTATTGCTACGGCTGAAGTATATGGGGTGTGCCCACGACCTCAATGGGACAATGAAAAGTGAAAATAATCTAAGGCAAAATAGACATATTGAATATTATTAAGCATATATTAATTTTATAGAAACGTCAAAAAATGACGGCCTTATTTAAGCAATTTTTCAATTGAGAAGCTTCTGGTTTATGAATGTGTAATCTAGGATTTTTATCCATACAATTAAATTTTAGTCAGCAAAAAATGTGGTTCTACCTCTTTATACATTCAGTTGTTAACCTTTCGTTAAAATAACGTCTGTAACTTTGCAATTCTGTACAAAAAATCCACGATTTTCGTCTTTACAATTAACTCTCTCTTCATAAATTGCAAAGGTATAAATCCATCTTTTCACGTTCCACATATATGGGTTAAATAGCAGGTCTGGTTGGATCCTATAGCCTTGGTTGGCAAACAGTCTGCCTCGGAAACAAATGGCAACCTACTACGAAAACATCTAAGTCAGTCATGAATCGAAGTAGACGTGATTGCCCAAGTGTCTATCACTTATATGTTGAATAGCAGCATAGCGTGTCCTGCTATTCAACATATACATTCGTTGATTTCCTTAGGAGTTTTCATTGTGCTAGCAACTGGAATTTCCTGATATTTAGTAGCTCAACACATGTTTTCCGTTGCTATCGTTCAGTCAATGAGCTAAAACCTATACGTGATACACAAACTCGATTGAAATATTGCTTAAACAAGGCCATCGTTTTTTGATGTTTCGATTAAACTAATGAATATTTGCTTAATAATAATGCGTTTATTGTAGCCTTTCTTAGGCTATTTTCACTTTTCATTGTCGCGTGACCCGTTGAGGTCGTATGAGCATCCCATGTACTTTAACCGTAGCAACAGTGTTATCTTTCGCAAGATACCATAGCAGAGCTCAGTCCTCTCTAGGGTGATTTGAATTAAGAGTTTTCCTTCTCCTAAACTGGTTACCAACCGATTCGGTTCTACTATTTATCCTTTGTTTTATCGATGTATTCCTAGCATTCTCAAGGGTATTTAAACCAGTTTAACAGATTATATTCAATAATACTAAATCCTGGAATGTTTAAGTCATTTTAAAACGTTTAAAAAATCTGAGATGTTTATTACTTAAGTTAAAACATCGACAAAGACTCTTTAAAAACAACTTGCAATATAACTTAGCTGTCTTGTATATAACATAGCTATCTTTTTTCTTTTCTTTTTACTTTTTAAAAGAGAATTCTTCTGAGTCAAGTATCATTAAAATGTCCGTTCATATGTATCTCACGCGGAGACAGATGAACATACATAGACCCACTTAGGCCCAACTAATGATACAAGTTCTGATAGGCACGTGCAAGCATGTGGCAAGGCTCAAGTCAGCTACAGGCGATTTATCTACGTCGGCGTATTCTTATCTATTTATCTATCTATCTATCTATCTATCTATCTATCTATCTATATAAATATATATATATATATTATTTAATATCTATCATCTATCATCACCTATTCAAATTTCTTTCTTTTCATTTATCCATCTATTGATATTACTTTTCTGTTTTACTTTCTTTCTATCTATCTATCTATCTATCTATCTATCTATCTATCTATCTATCTATCTTTATATATATATATATATATATATATATATATATATATATATATATATATATATATATAAAAGTGAATATTGAAGTCAACACTTAGAGGCGACAGACGGTTTAATGCTGGACGTAATCGTCAGGCGGCCTGATTGCGTCCAACATGAAACATCCTGTCGCCTCTGAGTTTTGACATATTTACATACGCTCTATCTATTCATATATATATATATATATATATATATATATATATATATATATATATGTACACGTATATGTGTGTGTGTGTGTGTCAGTCTCAATCTGTTCAAACGCATCTTTCTATCTGCCATTTTATCTATTTATCTGTTTATCTATATATCTATCAATCTCAATCTGTTCATATCTGTCTCTTTCTCTCTCTCTCTCTCTGTATATATGTGTGTGTGTATCTATCTATCTATCTATCTATATATATATATATATATATATATATATATATATATATATATAAATGTACTTGTCTCAATCTGTTCAAACGCAACTAGCTTTCTGTCTTTTTGCCTGTCTATCTATCTGTTTATCTATATACCTATCAATCTCAATCTGTTCATTATCTATCTATCTATCTATCTATCTATCTATCTATCTTAGCCTGTTTATATCTATCTATCTATTACGTTAGGTATAAAGAAAACCCTCTTGAAAACAGCATTCTCGTAATTATTTTATTAATATATCATGTTTTGAGAATTACCTTTATATTCTTTTAAAAAATGATATCATGTTACGATCTTTTCTATTGTTAATACATCCTAAGGTGCTAGAATAATGATTGGGGAGTGGTTCCTCAATGGCTCGTTCGCATCTTCTTGCATGAAACAGATATCCAACGATGAGGCTGAGTGCAGTCTTTAGTAGATTCACCACTTTCCGGTGTGCCATACTGAAACGATATTACATTGACTGCAGTAAGCACTACTGCTGGTCTCTGTCTTTGTCGTTCTGTTCCGGGCACGTCGTCAACAAGACGGGTAATTCGGTGATAGCATCATCGTGAAAAGTAGAACATCCAGAAATATTACTTAGAAAAACTGGTGTCAATATCGGCTTTTGACGCCTGTCTCGAGGTCGCCGTAAAAAAAAAAAAAAAAAAAAACTGCGTAGTTCTTTGACCGAGTCGAGTGTTTCAAATGCTGCTCCCCCAAAGGCGAACACACCTTTTCTACTCGGGGAAACTAGCTCAACACACGCATTACTCGAAATTCCTTTAGAAGGTGTGAACATATGGGGTTTTCCATGACATATTCTGTCGACATTACTTTTGAAAAAAATAAGACATTAGATTCACAAAAACACACACAAACAGGCATATATATATATATATATATATATATATATATATATATATATAGGGAAGAAATAAGGATTACCAAATTACAACAAAGAGAGAATGTCTCATATCGAGAATATTTCACATTGAACATGAAGAAAAAATTAATTATTTTTAATAATATGTGGAAATCTCCACTTTTACCTGAAGACGTCACGAGACCAGAAACACGTGTCGTAAAATTATGTAAAACATAGCATAATATTTTTTCTAAATAAATCCACATTACAACCAAAAACGTTTGCGGCACCTCTCTTCTCTTCTTTATAATATATATATATATATATATATATATATATATATATATATATATAAATGATAATAGGAAAACTGTAATAGGTACAGACACATTTCGTCCAATGTAGCCCAACTGGACGAAACGCGTCGGCAACTATTACAGTTTTTCCTATTGTCATTTATATTTAAAAATATTATCTTTTCCACAGGTCAACTCTGAGAAATTTTCATATTTATATATATATATATATATATATATATATATATATATATATATATATATATATATATATGATTTTCGGTATTTACTCCTACGAAACAGAACAACGTAAGGATGCTGGAAAACCTAAATAAAAAATAAAAATAAATAATTTGAAATTTTTGTGTCTTTATAAGTAAAAATTTCAGGATTAGTTATTGCCAAAATTTCGCTTGAAGATGAAACAGAGCTTGATACTTTAAATTCAATTTAATTCTAATAATTATATTGAAGTTTCCAGCCCTTGTTTTTGAAACATGAGAATTCTTATGTAGCGAAGGAATCATATTTTTTTTAAAATTATAATTTAGGCTCTATTTTTGTAGTGAGCTCTGTTTTTTAAAAATAAAAACAAAAATACTAAACAACTTCCTACTATTTACCTAACGAGTCCTTTCCTATTTTCTACATATTTGCACTCCCCACCACACACACACACACATATATATATATATATATATATATATATATATATATATATATATATATATATATATATTAATACTTTTTGTTAAAATCATCATTTTTGTTGAATTTTTTCAATTTAGAACTTAAATATTGGGAAATACTATTGTCAGCTGAATTTAACAAAATTTGTTCAGATGAATTCTTGCTATTTAAATACATACTATATATATATATATATATATATATATATATATATATATATATATATATATATATATATATATATATATATATATATATATATATATATATATATATATAGCATAGTATACGATCGCAAAAGCGTGAAACCCAGGGTCACAAATTCACATCAATCTAACCAAATATGTTAGCTCTATCTCTGATAATGAGCGCTTTTCTAATAAGTACTGCGCATCTAATATATAAATGATTATATATATATATATATATATATATATATATATATATATATATATATATATATATATATATATATATATATATATATATATATATATATATATATATATACGCAAACACAAACACATATATAAGTTTCATTAAAGAGGACTAATTCAGTTTTCTATTTAATTTTATCTTGTGTTCGTATATTTTATTTTCTTATCTGGATATAAGTTATGGAAAAATTGATCGAATGTTCTGTATGTGTTAGCGCTTTCGGCTATTCCTTTAACCATTATTAAGAATGATTTTTATTTTTAAGTGAATGAACAGATATTTATGTATGTATCTAGAGTTATCGGAATATTTTTTTTATTTTCAAAACACTGTCAGCACATTGTGGCCGTGTTCATATTTAATATTTTTGATTGTTGGCTTTTTCCTTATTATTGATGATTCCCCTATGGTTAGCCATTTTTATTTTATTTTATTTTATTTTATTTACATGTGGCTATTATACTTGCATTTTCTACGAGTATGTTACGGATAGAGATTGATAGGCTTTCATGTTTATTTAAATGAGACCTTATTGAGCTATGGTCCAAGAGATGTAAGGTCAGTCTTCTTGATAGACATGTAGTTGTATGCCCAAATTCATGAATTTGATTTGATCAGGAATACATTTCCTTTAGGGATATGTAAACTCATGAATAATATTGATTCTCTGTAAGGTCCAAATCGATTGGTCATGCACACACACACACACACACACACACACATACAAACAATATATATATATATATATATATATATATATATATATATATATATATATATATATATAACACACATACTAGCTTGTTTCTCTATATCAAAACTCATCAGTGTGGCTAGACGCCCGATTTCTTGAAGCGGGGATCGAAACTCAACCGATTTGGTGTCAGTCAGAGATTCTACAGATATAAATAAAGTAAATCTCTCAAAAGACAATATGAAAAAAGACATAAGAAAAACTCATCTCTATTTTCTGATTCACATTCGATGAATATGTCAGTAAAGGTGAGGACAACAGTCCCAACTATGTAAACATTGTAAATAACTATAATACGTAATCTCAGAAATATAGACAGATCCTGAAGAAGGCCGGAGCGTACAACGGCTAAAACATCGTAAATAAGGCAACGAAGATGAGGATAATAGTCCGAACAATGCAAATGGTGTAAATAACTACAATACTTCATCTTAGAAATATAGACAGATCCTGAAAAGGCCGGGGCGTACAACGGCCGAAACATCGTGAATAAGGCAACGAAGATGAGGATAATAGTCCGAACAATGCAAATGGTGTAAATAACTACAATGCTTCATCTTAGAAATATAGACAGATCCTGAAAAAGGCCGGGGCGTACAACGGCCGAAACATCGTGAATAAGGCAACGAAGATGAGGATAATAGTCCGAACAATGCAAATGGTATAAATAACTACAATGCTTCATCTTAGAAATATAGACAGATCCTGAAAAAGGCCGGGGCGTACAACGGCCGAAACATCGTGAATAAGGCAACGAAGATGAGGATAATAGTCCGAACAATGCAAATGGTGTAAATAATTACAATACTTCATCTTAGAAATATAGACAGATCCTGAAAAGGCCGGGGCGTACAACGGCCGAAACATCTGAAAAAGGCAACGAAGATGAGGATAATAGTCCGAACAATGCAAATGGTATAAAAACTACAATGCTTCATCTTAGAAATATAGACAGATCCTGAAAAGGAAACATCGTGAATAAGGCAACGAAGATGAGGATAATAGTCCGAACAATGCAAATGGTGTAAATAATTACAATACTTCATCTCAGACAGATATTAAAAGTAATATTTGTTTTAATTCAGATATTAAAAGTAATATTTGTTTTAATTCAGATTAATTAAACTTTAAATCAGTTAATCTTAAGGTATTGAACTCACAACTTCTTTGGACTGGATTATTTCAACCAACGCTTTTATCCTTGAGGACATCAGCACATAAATCTTTGTGTCTTATACATTAAATCTTTTTACCAGATCTCATATTACAATTTATTGTTATTATTGTTTTTTCTCTACCTCTCTATATTACCGGTTCCCATATTGTATTCTTTTCTATGCTTGGCCAGCTTAGGAGATTTTTGTGGCTCAGCATATGCACTGATTCCTTAAGTTTTCATATTTTCCATTGATGTTCTGTGTCTATTTTTTCAACCTCATCCTTCAGGTGATATTCGTTGGAATGTCGAACCGAACCCTTTATGGCATGGCATGTGGAATTAGAACAATCTACTCCCGTGGACGAGATAAAAGATTCGGTTCGAAATTCCAACGTATATCATCTGAAGGATGCCAGAGCGTATGACTCTGTTGCCGCATGCTTCGGTGAATGACACCCTTACTCTGGTCCCTGTCTGTTGGTCCATCACCGATGAACTCGCCCTGCGCCAATCCTGCACCCCCCATCAGCCACGTTGTGTTTCAGTATACGCAAGAATATCGGCGAAGAACTGTCGAAGATCAGGCATGACTCCTCTCTGTCTTGGAAATTTAACTAACTTCAACAACACTCATTAAAAACTTTTATTTATGATACTGTGATTGATTAACATCATGAAGGCATAAACAAAAGGTATTTGAAGAATTCGACCCCCCCCCCTTATAAGGAATTCTTAAGCTGGGAGAAAGAAGTTGACTGGCGGCTGGGGTTATGGCTAAACATATCCAAAGTTGTTCAACTATTTAAATAAAGGCAGTTGATCGGGGGAATTAAAAAAAAAAGGGCGAAGAGAAGAGGACTTTAGCTGATTGAGGCACCACGGTCATACGGCAGGGAGAGTGTTGGTCTACCAGTTTGGTCTTATTTCTGTTCTTTCGGCGACCTACTTTTTAGGGTGATATATATATATATATATATATATATATATATATATATATAGATAGATAGATAGATAGATAGATAGATACGAACAGACTGATATAAATATGAACAGTGAGATATAAAGAGATGGACATAGATATATTATTAAGTATGGACTGGATATTGTAGACAGATAGATAGATAGATAGATAGATAGATAGATATAAACAGGTGGTGATAGATAGATAGATAGATAGATAGATAGATAGATAGATAGATAGATCTAAAATCTATTTCAGTTAACTGGAAAAAATCTATTTCAATTAACTTGTCAAGTTAAAATCTTTTCATTTGTACCCCCTTACTTCTTAAAATAACGACCAGCATTCATATTTATTATTGTTATTGCAATATTTTATTAAACCTGTTAAACTCAAATATTTAGCGATT